AGGTAATGCCCCACACAATTGTTACAGCTGTTCAATGGAGGCAAAGAGGATACTATCAGAACCAGAGCAATCTCTTAAGTGATTACTTGCCCACAAGTCCTGGTCCATTAAAAAATTGTGGCAAAGCCCTCAAGAAAAGACCACCAAGTGAAAGATATTACATGAACAAAGGCATAAATTAATTCACCATTTAACAAATCCAGTTAAGGTGCTGATAGCAGTAGGGATTAACAGGAGCTAGCTTTAGAAAGAAGTTATGATTATGAAGTTCTGGTGGCACAATGATTGAACAATCAGCTGTTAACTTATAATGTTAACTCAACTGCTAACTCATGCCCACACATTCCATTTCCAAGGACAGGGGCATTTTGATTTATGAAAAAAACAATGAAAGCCTGTTTAACTAGATGCAAGTTTTATCAAAAAGTTCCTTCAGTAGCTGTAACTTTTATCTATAGCTCAGGAGAGGAGACACCAGTCTAAGTGCATCCAGTTCTTCAAGGCTGACATCTTTTGGAATGTTACATGGGCTTCTCAGCACTGGGTTTGGGAATTTTATCTTAATAAATTTATACACTGAATCACAGGGAGTGAGCCAGTGTGATTTCATGACTGTTGTTGTTGTTAAGTACCGTTGAGTCACTGCCGACCCATCCATAGCAACCCTGTACAGGGTTTCTGAGGCTATAAATCTTTACAGGAGTAGAACACCTCATCTTTGTCCCGCAGAGCGGCTGATAGTTTCGAACTGCTGATCTTAAGGTTCATAGCCCAATTCATAACCACTACGCTACCAGAGCTCCTTATGATTCCATGACTACCATGGTTGCAAACACTAACTTTTCACGTAGAAAAATCAAAGTAAATGCCAAAGCACAAAAGGAGTAGACTGTACCCATAGTTACTTTTGTGAGTTCAGATTGACTCTTCCTCTTTCACCCTGTCTCCAAACAGCCAGCTTATGAGGGAACTTCAAAAGTTTGTGATAAACTCTATTGTCTTTTAATTCCAGTTTTCTATGATTTTTTTCAAAGTCTCCTTGTATATGTGCATGTACTCCCTTACCTCTGGCTTCTGGTTGAATTTGACCAATGGGAAGTAAAAGCAGGACAGGAAGGAACTTTCTGGTCTTCAAATTTATCTTCCTCCTTTTGTCCTGTTGGGCCTAGGTATGGTAATTGTATATGATCCCTTGTGCCTCCTAAATATTTTGTTCATTACTTTGCAAATAGATTCTGTATTAAATAACTTTCAAAATAGTTTGAGTGTTACCCCTTTTCTAATGAGACCCTGGTTAACAATTTATAGACATTAAATGAAAATACCAGTAGGATTTTGTTTCCAAAGTGTAATCATTGACATGGAGTTTAAGAACTTAGGTCTAGTAAGAAACAGCTGTCTGACAGCATATTGAAAATGAAAAATCAGGGAAGAATAATACACCTCATTGAAAAGGTGTATTATTATAATTTAAAACTGACTGGCCAAAAAGTACTTTGGGCCTGTTAGCAGAAAAATGATTATTACCTGCCACTGACACAGCCAATATTCAGAGACAGGACTCAGAGCATAGAGCAAAGCATTTGTTGAATATGAAACTCAGAGGAAAAGGGGGGAAATCTCCCAAATCTGGAACATCAGAAATTTGGTTTGTTTATTCAGTGTCCTGTTGATCTTCCTAGCCAAGCTGTCTCCAGCTGGCACCATTAATCTCTCCAGGTGGTGGCTATCAGTGGCCATAAAAGATGTGTGGTTGGTTACCTTAAGATCCTTCAGTAGTCCTTCCTGAGATAGTCCTCAGGGTAGGATTTGATTGCTAATTAAATAAATAAATAAGAGAAACCTTATTAATAGGATAACAGGATGACCATTCAGGACTTCTATATTTTGCTTTGGCTAGGGTTTCTTTGAACAGTTTGGGGGTTCTCAGTGACCTGTTTTCAGGCCCAAGAAATAGCAAAGGCAAAACCTCTGGGAGAGGAAGAAACATGTTCTAGAAACAATAAATCATTTGTGATTACAGGACAGTAATTAAGAGGTAGCAAAGCAGAAAAGTTGGAAAGGTAAAGATGATCAAGAAAATGGCAAACCCCTTTTGCTTGTTTGTTGTTCCTGTCCCAAATTCATGCTTTCTTTGCCAGCTAGGTTCTAGTTAGTTTCAGCAAGAGGGTAGAGAAGTAGAGGCCTAAAGAATATTGAGTTTATGGATTATTTTGAAGATGGAGGGTAGGGAAGAGCTCACTTTAACAGTGCTCCTTCACAGGGAAGGGGTTGTTCTTAAGCGCTGGAGAGTTGGTTTCAACCCATAGCGGTCCCGTATAGGGTTTCCAAGGAGCAGCTGGTGAGCTTGATGAGTTGCCCACCTTGCAGTTCAAAGATTTTGCAGCCCAGCGAATTAAACCACAGCACCACGCCAGGAAAGGAGTAAACACCTTTAAAATTGAGGCACGTATTGTCTTGAGTTACAAAGAACAGGCCAATTACTGTACCTATTTTATTCCTACTCACATTAAGCATGTATGACGTTGAGCTCTCTTCCATGCCTTCAATTGGTTTAGGAAGTTATCAAATTCTTATACTTTTGGCACTTTGAAAACAAATTGATTTGCACTTGACCTTTAAAAAAAAAAAAAAAAAGCAAGGTAACAACTGCAGATCAAATGGTCATTCACTCAAAGGCAAGATGAAAATGACATTGTGTTAAATTTTAACCAATGGTGGCACAATCCTCGTAGAAACTGTTCAGTGCTAACCCTGTTTGCTAAAGGCTTTCACTTAAAATTCAACACTTTGTTTTTAAGTAGCAGATTACCAGCTTTTTCTTTGAATAGGGTAGGTGGCTCTGAAAAGAGCCTTTGTTTTTCAATTTCCAACCTATTTGGTCTTGTGGTGGCTCTCAGTCTTCTTGGGCAGCAGTACAGCCTGGATGTTGGGCAAAACGCCGCCCTGCGCGATGGTGACTTTGCCAAGAAGCTTGTTGAGCTCTTCGTCATTACGGATCGCCAGCTGCAGGTGGCGCGGAATGATGCGAGTCTTCTTGTTGTCGCGGGCCGCATTGCCCGCTAACTCCAGGATCTCGGCTGTCAGGTACTCCAGCACTGCAGCAAGGTACACTGGAGCGCCGGCCCCGACTCGCTCGGCATAGTTGCCCTTGCGAAGTAGGCGATGAACACGGCCCACAGGGAACTGAAGTCCGGCACGAGAAGACCGAGTCTTAGCCTTGGCGCGGGCTTTGCCACCTTGTTTCCCACGTCCAGACATAGTGACAGCAGTAAGGCTCAATGTAGCAGCTAAGCTACGAGTGTGGTGTCAGCACTGTTTATAACCACTGCAAAGCGCGAAAAAGAAGATGTGTCATTGGTTAAACTTGTAGCGTTCTCTTAACCAATGGCTATGCTACACTAAACTTCCTGTATTCTGATTGGATAAAACTAATATATGACGTCACTATAAATACCCACCAATCAGACATAGGACTTTAACTCATGTCCTCATTTGCATAAGAGGTTCTCTATAAGAGAGGATCCCTCGCTCTCTGTTTATTCATATTTCCTCCTCTGACTTTCTAGGTCTGCTTTTGACCATGCCTGATCCTGCCAAGTCCGCTCCTGCTCCGAAGAAGGGCTCCAAGAAAGCGGTGACTAAGGCCCAGAAGAAGGATGGCAAGAAGCGCAAACGGAGCCGCAAGGAGAGCTACTCAGTCTACGTGTACAAAGTGCTGAAGCAGGTCCACCCCGACACCGGCATCTCGTCTAAGGCCATGGGCATCATGAACTCCTTCGTGAACGACATCTTTGAGCGCATAGCTGGTGAGGCATCTCGCCTGGCGCATTACAACAAGCGCTCGACCATCACGTCCCGGGAGATTCAGACAGCCGTGCGCCTGCTGCTGCCCGGGGAACTGGCCAAGCATGCCGTGTCCGAGGGCACCAAGGCAGTCACCAAGTACACCAGCGCCAAGTAAACTTGCCACGCAATTTTCGTGCTAAAGCCCAACGGCTCTTTTAAGAGCCACTCACTTTTATCAGTAATTAGAGCTGCAGACACTAGTATACAGTTTTTTGTTTGGGGTTTTCTAAAAAGGCTGTCTAAGCGAGACAAGCAGGTAAATTTGCAGTGCAGTGCAGATTTGGTAAACTTGTGGAAACTTTCCTGTGTTATGGTGACTTGTTGCGCTAAGTAACACGCACAGTGGTCGTGCCTGCTCTGACTAGATGAAGACTCGGGTTTGTGCTTTTTTTTGGCTAATTACAAGGTCATTGGAAACCCTGTTAGGTGGCCCTTGAACGGGAAGCTTTAAAGAAAAGGATTCGGATTCTGGCGCCGAAAGCCTGAACGAAGCGGGCGTGGCTTTGTTTCACCTTCGGTTTGTCATTCCTCCTTGGTCTCATCACAGTTGTAATCTTTTATAAATGAATTTAGCCATAAATGTCCTAATGCCTGACGACCACCCCGGATAAAACCGCAAAGGAAAGGTGAGAAGCACAGCTTTGTTCATGAATAAAATGAAATACTAGGTAGGATACTGAATAAAACTTATGTGATCAGTTTCCTAGTTTTCAAAACATTTCCAAGATTCACTGATTCAACTTATAAAAGTTTATAGAGCTTTCAGATGGAAAAAAAAGGACTGAAATGAAGACAACAAACATTTGAGAACGGGCGAGGCCGTCCCTTAAGGTCACCGTGAAAGGGGAGGAGATAGTGCCCCAGGCCCAGTTCAGAGACAAACATTTGAGAAAGGGCGAGGCCGTCCCTTAAGGTATCAGTGAAAGGGGAGGCGATAGTGCCCCAGGCCCCCAGGGCTTGAGAAGGAATTAAGTAGGGGTAGTTTGTAGTGTGACTGGAGGCGAAAAGCGAGTTTTAATGCTAGAGAGAAAACTGCGTTTCTCACCTCTCCCTTTCTCCTAAATTCTTGTATTTTAACCCTTCTGGCTCTGTAACCACAAGGTTGGCAGTTCAAATCCACGGGAGAAAGATGAGACTTTCTGCTACCATAAAGATTTGTTGTTATGCACCATCGAGTCTTTTCCTACTCAGCGAGCCTATCTATACACGAGTGGCTGGTGGGTTTGAAACGCTTACTTTACGTTTAGCAGTCCAGTGCTTATCCTACAGTGCCACACTTGTTAAGTGCCGTCGAGTCGGTTTCGACCCAGGAGTGGCTGGTGGTTCAAACCAACTTGCGGTCGGTCCAGTGCTTTATCCCACAGCGCCACACCAGGATCCCCCGTAAAGATTTACAGCCTTGGAACCCTGTGCAGGGTCACTCTGAGTCGGAACCGACTTGATGGCATTTAACAACATCATGTTCTTTAATCCAATAAAGAGATACCAACAATTCCTTGGATAAAGGAAAGGGAAAAGGTCCCGATCAGGAACAGTGCTTTTTAAATAGGCTTCTACTAGTTTGTAATCCACTCTGCAATACTTGTGTTAGAGTGACAGGATTTTTAGCAGTCATGTGCTGTAGGATAAGCACTGGACTGCTAATTTAAAGGTCAGCGGTTCAAAACTACCAACCACTACTTGGAAACCCTATACAAGGTTGCTATGAGTCGAAACGGACTTAAGGACACTTAACAACAATCCATAAATGATGGAAAGGCAGCCGTAGTTGGGAGTTAAGGATTCTACTTTAAACTGCATCCTTGGCACATATACTTGAATCTAGGACCATAGGCTCTACCAACAATGGAAACTATAGCAATGATTTAATTAATATTCTTTTTACCTATAATTGCTCATTGGTTACTTCAGCTTCTGACTTTTGCATATTTTGGCAAAGGAGAAAGGAGAATTCATTTATTGTCATGAATTTCACCCCCTTAGGCTGCAGATTCTCCTGTTCTTTGGAAAACTAATAGTAGATTTGGGATAGAAACATGGTTTATTTTAACTGGTCAAGTGTGGCGTTGTGGGATAATGCACTAGACCGTAAGGTCAGTTTGAACCCCAAGATCGGAGATTCAAACTCACCAGATGCTCCTCTGAAACATTATACAGGGTCGCTATGAATCAGAACTGAGTCAAAAGCACTTAACAAGTGGTTATACCAACAGTTCCTCTTTGGAAATCCTATACAATATGAGTCGGAACCGAATTAACGGCACTGAAGAAATGATTTTGCAGTGGCAAATGAAATTTGTTCTTTGACCTCTTTTTTTCCTACTAGGATTTTTCTAGTAACCACATGTTTAAATAAGGTAAAAGAAACAGCTGAAATTAAATTTAATAATATATTTTCCTAGACCAATATATCAAAATCCTTAAGCATCATCAGTATAGACATTACTTATTTTGCCTTTTTTTTTTTTTTCCCCCCCAAGTCTTCAAACTTCTGTACCTATTTACACTCAACAGTACATCACAATTTGGGCCCTAAAATTTCTTTGGAAATATGAATATGTTGATTTATATCTAAAAGTTAAAAATTTGTCTGAAGTGGATTACATACCAATGTTGTTCTAAGCATAAAAATGATCTAAGAATTGACCCTAGTGTCTTGTTTTAAAATGTAACCTAATAAAACCATCTCTTAAGAATGTTCTAAATATTACATGTTATAATGCATGTAGAACATTTAGCAATAGACTTTCAGTATATTTTAGATATTATTTTTCAGTGCTCACACACTACATTCTTTTGTCTCTCACTGTGCCCCATACAAATTTTAGGCACTCAGATTATTAGATAATAAAATTAATCTGTAATCAGAACTTCAGTTCTTAATGCTATTTCAGAAACACTTTAGTTTTCAAGTCCAAATGAGATAAGCAGTCTGAATTTCTTTATCCATTGATACTTGCAGCTTTTTAGGAGCATTGTTGTTAAGAGCCACGAATCAGTTCCTACTCATAAAGACCCTGTATAGCAGGGGTGGGAAACCTTTTTTCTGTCAATATTTATGACATTTGCGGGTCATACCCTGCTGTATTTGATCAAACATTTAATTAGCTCACCCTTAATGTGATGGCTGGAACTGCGGTTGACTTGGCAAGGCCAAACTGAATGACTTTTGTCAACCTTATATGGGCAGCGGTCCTAACCCTGTTGTGTAGGGTTTCTGAGGAGCGGCTGGTGGATTTGAACCACTGAGCTTGCAGTTCGAACTGACCTTGAAGTCTAGCGTTTATCCTACAGCACCACACCAGATTTCCCTTTAGGGGTGGGAGGCAGCAATTACCAAAAAAAACAAACAAAAACAAAACAAAAACAAACAAACAAAAATCCACTGCTATCTAATCTATTCCAACCCATAGTGACCCTTTAGGACAGAGAACCGCTCCCATAGGGTTTCCTAGGTTGGCAACAGCAATGGGCTCATGCATGACGATCCTAAGGATGGCGCAGGACCGGAGTTTCTGTTGAGCCATGGGGTCGCTATGAGTTGGAACCGACTCCAGGGCACCTAAAGCAGCAACAGATCTCAGTGGGAACAGTCTCATCGTTCTGCCGCCGAGCAGCTGGTGAATTTGAACCACTGTTAAATTATCAGCCATTGTGCCACCAGTTGTTAAATAAATGACTTGGAGTTGCTTCAAACTCAACGACCCCTTATAAGGGCTTTGGAAGCTATTTTTGCGGGAGCAGACAGCCTCATTTTGCAGAGTGGTGGCGAACCTTGGACTTTGTGGTTCACAGTCTATTACCTGTCCTAGAGCCACCGCAACCCCCCTTTGCCCTACCAGGGCTCCATGTAAAAGGGAAAAAAAGCAACCTCTTATTCAAACAAATTAATCCACAATGGGATACTACTTAACAAGTAATTAGACTGGCAAAAACTATAGCCCAATGTTTGTAATAACAAGGCTAGGCGGTGGGATACGCTAGTGTAATCAGAAAAGCAAATTATTCCATTTCTATTCATGTTGAATATGTGTGTATACTCTCATTATCAAGAAACTCCTTAGATTAACCCAACTAGAGAAAGTGACCCAGCTGTACACAACAGGTCCCAAAATAGCACCTGTTGGGGAATAAATGACATTTAAATACTCAAGGGTAAATTATGCACTGTTGATAGAGTGTTAAAAACCTCCCAACTGGCGACCCTGTAAAGGGCTCCCGGGTTTGAAAGACCAAACCTTGTGGTTGGTAGTCTAGTGGCTTATGATCTCGCCCAGTGCTTAATGCAAACGCGAGTTTTGCAGCTCTTCCAAATTGAAAGTTTAGGGGCCCTAAAAAGGACCTTTTGTTTGAACTATAGGGCGCGGAAGTATCTAGCCGCCGAAACCGTAGAGGGTGCGTCCTTGGCGTTTGAGCGCGTAGACAACGTCCATGGCAGTAACCGTCTTGCGTTTTGCGTGCTCCGTGTAAGTGACGGCGTCCCGAATCACATTCTCCAAAAATACTTTCAGCACCCCACGAGTCTCCTCATAAATGAGACCAGAAATACGCTTCACACCGCCACGCCGAGCCAAGCGCCGGATAGCAGGCTTGGTAATGCCCTGAATGTTGTCACGTAGCACTTTGCGGTGCCGTTTGGCGCCCCCTTTCCCTAGCCCTTTACCGCCTTTGCCACGACCAGACATCTTCTCGAAGAATCAAAACAGATTGCAGAGTGAGAGATAGCACCTTCCTTTTATAAGCAATGCCCTGCGGACCAGAGTGAAAACCCAAAGAGCGGTGGCGGGAAGTCTCCCTAGGTTGGGGGAAGGGTTGTAAAAGGGGAAGAAATCTATTATGCTAATCCCTTTTGTTCCGGGTCGGCCTTTTTCACAAAAATAACTTGGGTTATTTTCCCTCCTTTTTCTTCTTTACTGTTACTGTTTCCTCACCACCCTTATTACGTAATAAAACTTTAGCACTGTTGTTGTTATGTGCTGTGGAGTCGGTTCTGACTCGTAGCCACCCTGTACAGGGTTTCCGAGGCTGTAAATCTTGACGGGAGCAGAACGCCTCATCTTTCTCCCGCGGAACAGCTGGTAGTTTCGAACAGCTGACCCTGAGGTTAGCAGCCCGATTGGTAACCACTACGTTACCAGAGCTCCTTTTAACACTGTGGAGAATACCCAAAGAAACAAAAATGAATAAAGTACTAAAATTCCCTGGTTTATTTAGTAGGTGTCTTTACACATATTTATTTTCTTTCTCTAACGAGATTTAGACTATACCATTCAGTCCTGGTGTGGCTTTGTAGGATGGGTAGTGAGCTACTAACTGGAGGGTCTGCAATTCAAACCCACCAGCAATTCTTCTGAAACCCTATACAGGGTCGTTATGATTGGAACCGTCTCGGTGACACTCAACGACACTCAACAACATACTATTTTGTAATAATTTTTAACTCAATGTTTGCTGGAAGTATACTCTGTGTGCTCTGTATGAAAATTTTCTAGAACAAGATAGTAATAAAATCAGTGATTTTAAAATACTTGTTCAAACTCATCAGTCACTCCTCAAGAAACCCTAATACAGGGTCGCTAGGAATCGGGCTGCGAACCTTAAGGTTAGCAGTTTGAAACTACCAGCTGCTCCGCGGGAGAAAGATGAGGCTTTCTACTCCCGTAAAGATTTACA